GTGCAAGAGAAGAGATAAAGCAGCTATTTATTTGGGAGGTAATAGTTCAGCTACACTTCTTTAACATTATACATTTTAAGTTTTAAAATAATTAATTTAATGGCAATTAGTTTGTAAAGTGCTTTGATGCCATAAAGCATTATGAAAGTGGCAAGTCCTGATTACACAAGCCAAAAAAGAGAAATATTTTAATTACGGTACTTTAAAAGTGACCAATGCAGGAGGATCTTGTTCCTGCATTGGCCACTTTTAAAGTACTGTAATACAACATTAAAAATTAGGAAGAGTATTTAATTTGTTCTTTGTCAGAGCGGTCTGTGATTAGGAGGAATTATATTTTAAACTTCGTAAGCATGTATAAAATCAAGATGCAATGAAAAGTAGCAATCACCTTTCAGAATGATTTAAAAATAATATCCAATGCATGTGGAGGAGCTGGCTGTTACTCACTTTGCAAGTGTCAGCTTCGGTATAATTTAGAGCAGTCCCTAGTATGATAGCTCTCATGGATCATCTTGTTAGCTGAAGATTATTGGTACATAATAGTGCTGTACCTATTATCTCTTGTCATCTTTAGGCTCTGTGCATTGGGCACTACAAGGTGATATGACACTCATGCAATAGGGTGGTGGTTCTATATGCCAGTTGAATATTTAGCTCATGTGATCTGTCAGTTTTCTGACTAGAAGCAGCTGACCCTTCTCTGACTTTCAGTCCTGAGGGCTAATCAAGTTACAGGGGCATTCAGCACCACTAAGAAATAATCTCATTATGCAAAATAGTTCAAAGGCCTTTTTATGTATGTGAGAAGCATGGATCTTTCAACAAATACAAAAGTCCAATGATTTTGGAATTTACAACACAAATTTTTCAGCACGGTTTAGATGATAGACATTATCTTCAGTGTCTTGAAACCATTTTAATTTTTGGTCACAGGCTTTTTAATATTTTGATGTACAAGGTTGTGTGTGAAATTTTCTTACTCTTCAATCCTTTTCTTTTCCTAATAGATTTGCTCTCCTACAGCAACTGTCCATCACAACTGAATCAGGTTTAATGCTGATGTTTCTGGAAACCAGAAATTTGCAAGATTTGCATTTAATTTTGAGCTTTGCTTTGGAAAACACTATTGTGATTTTTCATGACCTTTCTGAAAGTGGTATCCCATGCCTCTTAAACACAGAGTTCACTTGAAGGCATTTACAACAGATTTTCTTTTCAGCCCTTCACACTTCAATTTTGGCCATGTTCCAGAATGCAGAAACTTGATTTGTAATCACCTTATTTACAAGGTATTTTTTTCCCTTCTGTTTGCTTAACTTGACAGCTTGTAGACTGTGAGGCGCCACTTGGACTTTTTAGAAAAATGTTTTATTTTGGTTTCTTTTGCTGAATAGGCATACATTCATCCTTTGGATCAACTCTCCTTTGCCCATTTGGGAAGTTAAGGTGATCTGAATTCTTTACAGTTCTATGGAGGTGATGGATCCAAATTTCTGCTGGTGAAAATGAATGTACCTCCATCGAGCTGTACACAGTTCATCAGTTGTTGATTCCCCCGCCCCCACACCCCATGGCTTGGATGGGGCCATCACTGTGACAGCTTTCCTTGCCCTGCCCCCGGTGCTGCCCACAGCATGGCCCCCTGCTGGGAAGAGGCTCACGCTCTGGGACAGTCACAGGGGTTGCATTTCCCATCATGGTTGCTTCCCCCTTACCACTCTGGGGGCGGGGGTGGGGCCAGAGCACGGCTGGCCTGGCTCCATAGGTGGGGTGAGGAGGGGGTGTTATATCTTCCCTCCATCTGGTGAAAGGGGCTTATCCTACTGCTCGCTCCTTGCGTGCAGGAATGGTGATTGGAGTGGGCAGACCCTGCTGTGGTCCCCTGGGGGCAGAGAGGGGAATAACCTCCCTCCCTGCTCCCTGACTAAGGGGCTGTGCCAGTCGGGCTCTGGCCCCATCCCTGCCCCGATGTGGTGAGAGGGGAGTGACTGATGGGGAATGCAGCCCCTCTCATAGTGTCTTGGCTCGCAAGCCTTTTCCTGGTAGGAGGGCCATGCTGCGGACAGGGGCAGGGAAATCTGCCGCAGGTGAGTGTCAGCAGCAGCACTGGGGGTGTTTGGGGGGTGCTGGCCCTCTCTGAGCCCCGGTACTGCTGCCCACCCTGCGTTGTTTTCAGCAGCTCTGACCCCTGCTTGTGGCCCCCCTGCTGGGAAGAGGCTCGCACTTCCCGGACAGCAGGACAGGGCCTGCAGCTTCTGTCAGGGCCATACCCCTCACTGCTCCAGCAGCAGGGTCGGGGGCCCAGCTAGAGCCTGGCTGGCAGGGCCCCTTGGGTGAGGGGGCAGGGAAGGGGGGTATTCCCCCCCTCCCTCCAGCATCTGGCACAGGGGGCAAGAGGGGGATTCTCCTCCCACTTGCTGCATACACAGAGCCAGTGGGGATGGCAGTGGTTGGGGCAGGCAGACCACAATGCGGTGGCCCAGGTGCAGTGGGATTGGAGGGGGGAATAACCCCCCACCTCCCTGCCCCCTCTGCCTTAGGGGCCATGCCAGTCAGTGTCCCCCGGGCCCCCTGCTGCAGCAATGAGGGGGGAGTGCCTGGTGGACCCTGGCCCAGGTCCACATGGATGGGACAGGGAGGGAGAAATTAAACTTCCTCCTTGCCTAGTTCACTTAGAGCTACTGCTAGGGCTGGCCATCCCCCCCAGCACAGCTTTCCTGAAGCTGAGGGCTGCTCTAGCACCCCCTGACTCCTGGCCTGAGTGACTGTAGGCATGTACCTCTGTCTGGAGAGAATGTCTGTACAGTTGCAAACTGATTTAATCTATGCAAGTTAGACTAACCTGCAAAGATTGAATCAATTCAGGCTCCGGCTTTTTGAATGTCTGTCCCTAGCCTGGGGGTCCCTAGATCTGTTCCTGGTATATTGGCAAAGGTGGCAGCTGTCACGAGTGCATGCTAAAGAAACATACTCAAATAAGTTTGTATTTCTATAGTTTAAATAGAACTGTGTTTGAAGGCTGACTTCTTCACTCCATTTAGGACAGAGTGCTTTGCTGCTGTCTTCTGTGCTAGTTTGCTGTTTTCCATCAAATAACTCTTCTTAATGACAGCTTTTGCTATTTATAGTATGACCACATGGAAAAAACTATTGGAAGTATTAAAAGTTTTTATCTTCTTTATGGATTGGGCTCTAGAGGATGAAATAACTACTTGAGTAGATCTGGGATTTCCTTGAGAAGATGTTGGTGGTGATTAGAGCTGATCTATTTCTGGTCACAAACAGATCACAAATGGGCGTTGCCTTTCATAAATTCATTTAATATTTGTAAATGATTAACAAGCAGTTCATATGCATAAATGCCTGCTTATGAATTGTTCACGACTATTGTTCCCTGTTTTGTTTTCATGGTATTTGATTAGTTGCATGACTGTTTCTGTGCCCCACATCTCTGAAACTTTGAAAGTGACAGAATAGTGAAGATTCTTCTTTGCAAATGAATACGAGTGTTCACAAAAAGAACAGACACTTGCAAACATTCATGTAAATAAACCCCTATTCAAGAGAACGTTATTGAGCAGTGACTAAAATGAACACACCCATGGTCAAAATGTAAAGGACCTTCTTGTGCTTATAAGCTATGAGGGTTTATCTCATTCGGGCCCTAGTCCTACAAATACATACTGTCACAGGGTGCATCTACATGTTCATTAATAAGGCGCCATACTTACTGCTCCTTAATGAAGTACTAATGGAATGTGCAGTAATTACATTTACTGTGCAGTAGCACTGGTGCACAGTTTTTTGTGAGTTACTCCGCAGTAGCCTAGTAACACTGCGCAGTAGCTTATTAGCATGCTTTTTTACCAGCACGCTACTGCGCACTGTTATTAGGCTACTGTGCAGTAAGTGTCTTATATAGATGTGCCCACAGGTACCCAGGGAGTAGTTGCTTGCATTTCCCCAGCCTTGTATAGTGTCTTTGAGTACCCCTTGAAGCCAGGCTAGGCATAGCTCTTAGAACGGAGGAGCCTCTGTATCTCACTTCCTAAGACTTGACCTCTTGGTCCCTGACCCAGTTATCCCTTCTAGTTCTGCTCCCTTTGAGGGGTCTTTACCTCTTCAAGGGTGGTAGGCGTGCACATTAAGTCATCAGCTGCAAAGCAATCAGCTCTTCTTAAAGTAAAACAATTGTTCTTGGCTCATGGTAATACAATGGCCACAGCCCTTCTGCCCCAAAGCACAAGCATTCACTGTCATGGAAAAATAACTGTTCTCTCTCCAACCAAGAGGTCTCTCCAAGCTGTTCTCTTCCTGCCTATATTTCTCTGGGTGCCTCTCTGTTTGGGACCTTCTCTCAACAGTAATGGCCTTGGCTTAATGATCTCCCTGGCACCAGAAACAGCAGGGAATGTCTTTAGGTGCGTATCTGGAATCCATTTGATGTATCAACATAGTCCAATTAGCTAGTTGTTGTTTGATGGCTCAGTTCCCATTAACAGAGGACTTAGGCAGATCTCCCCAGCTCTCGGTTCAAGCATATTTAACCCCTTGTTTCACTGAGTACAAGCTGGTCAGGGAAACATGAACTTTATCATAACATTAACATTTTATTATAACGTTGTCTGCCATCATAACATTAAGACATTTAAACTAGAAAGATAACAACCAAATCATAGAGTGCAATGCTTATGAACATGAGTTACTCACTCTATGTTCATACTATCTGTGACTTCAAGGGAATGGCTCTAGAACATAAAGTTACATGTGTAACTGTGTGCAGTCAGGGGTCTTAGTTTATTTAATTGCACCTGTTTCTAAGTTGACTACTGCTGTAGTGTCCTGCCAAACATATGTACTCAGCTTGCTCTTTCACCTGGGGAAGAAGAAATGTAGCAGCTAGCATGTGAATTTGATACTTGGAAGATCTTGGTGAAATCCCTGTTCTCCTGCAGATTTCCTGTGTGACCTTGGAAAATTTAGTTTTTGCTTCAAGTACCGAACTGCTCATGAGGATAACAGCAATTTCCTATCAAGCAGACGTGATGTGAGGATGAACACGTTAAAGATGGTGAGGTGCTCAGAGACTACAGTAACGGGGGCCATATAGTTGCTTGGGTAAGTGGGGATTCCCATTTTTCACATGTTTAAAATTCAGTATATGTGTAATCCATTGAAGGATTAGGAAGTGTTATGAACAAATACTCTTGACTCACAGAGGGAGATTTCAATGACTTTACAGATCCCTCATGTTTTTTTCCATAAAGCAAAAGCAACAGCCAAATCAACCAAATTTTAAAAAGCTGAGGAACTGAATTGTGACTGCATCAGCTTATAACACTATTCCAGTAAGTGAGGAGAAGGTCACATTATTTATTTCCAGTCTCAGACTAGACATCAGGAGGCGCTACTTCATAGTCAGGGCAGCTAGGAGCTGGAACCAACTTCCAAGGGAAGTGGTGATGGCTCCTACCCTGGGGGTCTTCAAAAGGAGGCTAGACAGCCACCTAGCTGGGGTCATTTGACCCCAGGACCCTTTCCTGCCCATGGCAGGGTGTTGGACTAGATGATCTGCTTAGGTCCTTTCCGACCCTACCAACTATGAAACAACTTGTTTTAAAAAAAGATTTAAATCCAACCACAAATAAATGTAATAATCATTCTTCACTCTAATTGTTTCAGCTATGCTTTCAGGTTCTATCAGAAATGGCCTTTTAATTGATAGGTCCTTATATATGGAGCAGGAGGTCATTGAACTTTTCCATCATAAACATTTTAAAAGTGAATTGGGTGAAACATCTCCCTCTGCTGCTTGCTCAGGGGCTACTACCACATCAAATGTTTTTTTTGCTTCCTTATGCTCTTTTTTAAACATAAACATTATCTCACTTAAATTAATGTACAAATAAGCCATAACAAGAGCCTGAAAATGATTAATAATGAGACAGGATTGTGGAGGAAAGGAATGAGAACAGGAAATCTAATCTTTGGTTTTTCTATATATAGCAAACACCTCCAGCATAAGCGCACAGTGTTTTGTATAAATACATTTAAAATGTGTTTTGTAGGCACATATTTTCAACATGTTGTCATGATCTGAAACACATGTAGCCTCTAAAAAATTATGTGAAATATGCTGAGCTTTTGCCCATGCACATAAGTAAAAGTTATGCTCAGTGTATATGTGTGTGTGTAAATATTTAGCTGGAAGAATAGCCAATGAGAACTACTTCAGAATGATCCTCGAGTCAGAAAGCCACAAAATATAGCTCTGGAATTTGCCATGGTTGTATGTCCACATAAACAATACCAACTGGGAAGACTGGAGGGGGGGAGGAGGAGGAGGGGGAGTTTGCTATTTGTGGCAGATCACAGAAGAAAAGAAATTGAAAACCAGTTTTCTTGGCTCTATTTGAAAGATACAAGATTATAAGCAGGGGCTTTACACAACTTTAAACAACTCTCCCAACTTTGAGTCTGAGTCCTGTCTTTAATGATACATGCAAAAATAATCAATTTTATTAAATACTCTAGAGTTCAGTTAATCATCATTTTGTCAGAGGCCTAAAATGGCTTGGTTCAGGTATGTATGGACAGGATTCACCCATCATCGTTGCAGGGCCATAAGTTACACAAAACAAATATCCACTCACTTGCCCTTTCAAGCTTGCTTTTGTCAGTTCTTTGAGGCAAGATCATGTCTTTCTATTGTTTATTCAGCAGAATAAGACCCTGATCCTGGCTGAAGGCTTTAGGTGATGATATAAATATTTAATGGTACAGCAGTGGGAAAGGGGCATGAAGAAACCTCACTTTCCATGGTAAATTTCAGCAGTTCAGGCAAAAATTAATTATTTGTAAAATCTCCGAGGCCATTTGCTGTCAGAAGGTTTTAAATGGTCAGTAAAAACTCAGAGTATTTGTAATACATGGCTTTTTACAGTGTAAAGCTAGTAAGGCTATATCTAGCTATCTCAGTCCTCCCATCCATTCCTAGCCTATGTCATAGCTCTGTTCTTGTTTCTGCTTCTCCTGGTTACTGATTGACACATTTGAGTCTTCAAATGAGTTTCAAATGGGCCATTGGGGGAGGGGACCAATAGCAGTTGCCACCAAGTAGTTGCTTCACAAATCCAAATATTCCCTGGGTAAAATTGGAGAAAGGACAGCAGGTAAAATAAAATCCTTTTAGAAAGGGGAAGAAGTTTTTTCTCTGTGGCAGTATTGAATAGATAGATAAAACACCATTCACGTTCAAGGAGGTTTTGTGGCAGAGGAGTTTACAACAAATGGGAATATTCCTGGATTTGGGGTGGGGAAGAGGAGTGGGGGGAGATGGGTGTGTTGCCCAACAAGGAAGGTCATGGCAAGAAACCCTACTTTTTCCTTACATAAGTTCTTTGCACATGCATTCTGTCATCTTCTCCTGATGAGCTCTGAGATCTGAATGGAGAGGCAAAGTATTATTTGAATAGCCACTGGATGGGAACTTCTATGAGAAGTTGATCGTAGGAGTCTTCAGGCTAACTTGAGCTATTTTAGGTGGGGTAGTGGGGGAAGGGTTTAGCCTTTTGTACCAAAGCGCTATTCCCAGGGGTGACCACAATGTCCCCTGCGCTAGGCACAGAAGTTACACATAAACCGGTTCAAGTGACCAGAAACTGGTTTAAACTTGTAACACAACGTAAGTTCAGTGCACATAAACCACCTTCAAAATGGCTGAGAATGGTTTAATATAAACCTGGTTGAATGTCGTATGAGACTCAACTGGTTGAGCTCAAGCTGGTTTAACTTAAACCAGAGTCCCCCAGCATCCTGACATGCTTTGTAGCTCTGTGTGAGGCTGTGCTCTCTGCTGCCTAGCTGGAGCAGGGGTGGACAGGGGCAGGGGCATGGCTAGATGCTGGCCCCACTAAGGCAAAGGGGACAGGGAAAAGGTTTTTCCCCCGGTCCTTCCCCTGTCCTACTATCATGGACCCCAGCAGGGTCTAACAGGCAGGAGCTCAGCAGACCCTGACCGGCATTTTTCCATTTGCTGCTCCAGTGGTGGGGATGTGTCTAACCCCAGCAGCAGCCTCAAATGAACTGGCAGGGAGAGGGATTTAATTTCCCCCCTCCCTGTCCCACCAGCACAGACTTGGGTCAGGGTCCACCTGGCACTCCCCACTTGCTGCTGCAGAGGTGGGGGCATGGCCAGATGCCGGCCAGCCTGGCCCCCTGAGGCAGAGGGACCAGGAAGGGGTTTTATTTCCCTTCCAGCCCCTCCGTCCCTGGGGGACTGCAGCCAGGGTCTGCCTGCCCCAACTGCCTGCATGGGGCAAATGGTGGGATAAGCCCCCTCCCTGCCTTCTCTGTGAGATGCCAGAGGGAGGGGGTAAATAACCCCCTCCCTGCACTCTTGCCTGAAGGGGCCATGCTGACCAGCCTCTGGCCATGCCGCCACCCCTGCTGCTGGAGCGGCAAAGGGGCAGGGACTGTGATGGGGGCAAGAACCCCTTTTATGGTTTCCCAGGGAGTGAAAGCTTCTTCCTGGTGGGGGACGCTGTGGTGCAGGGTGGTCAGAGCTGCTGCAGACTGCACGGGGCAAGTGGCAGTAGTGTGTGGGAGGCCTTGGGGGGCTATTGCCACCCCTTTGAACCCCGGTGCCGGTGCTCACCCCACCCAGTCTGTGGCAGCTCTGCCTGCCCTGCTCTACCTGCCCCTGCCTGAAGCATAGGCCCCAGCTAGGAAGAGGCTTGATGTCCCAGGAAACCATGAGAGGGGCTGCTGTCCTGCCAGGGTCACTCCCCATTGCCACTGCAGCAGCAGGGGCTGGGGTACAGCTAGAGGCCAGCTGGCATGGCCCCCGTAGATGAGGGGGAAGGGAGGGGGGTTATTTCCCCCCTCCCTCTGGCATCGGGTGGAGGGGGCAGGGAGGGGGCTTATTCTATTGCTCGCCCCACACAGGGAGTGATCAGCAGCAGTCGGGGTGGGCAGACCCCTGGCTGTGGTCCCAAGGGGGTGGAGGTAGGGAATAAACCCCCTTCTTGTTCCCTCTGCCTCAGCGGGCTATGCTGACCAGTGTCTGGCCCTGCCCCTGCCTCCACCACTGCAAAAGTGAGAGGGGAGTGCCAGGTGGATCCCAGCTTGGGTCTGTGCTGATGGGGCAGGAGTGGAGAATTAAACCCCCTCCCTGGCCAGATCCCCTGAAGCTACTGCCAGGGTTGTCCACGTCCCCCCACTTCTTCCTCCCAGCACAGCTTCCTGCAGCTGAGGGTGCTCTCTAGCACCGCCCCAGCTTCTGGCTTAAGCCACTGCAGGCATGTGCCTGTATTTCCTGAATGTCTATTCACTTGCAGAACAGTTCAGTCTAGGCAGGTTAGATTAACCTGCGAAGATTGAATCAATTCAGGCTCTGGCTTTTTGAATGTCTGTCCCTAACACTGGTGGCCGCTTGGCCCCTGCTCTGCTCTTGCTTCTCAGGCTTGCTCCCCTTCACCTCACCTGCTATGCCTTGTTCCAAGGTTGTTTCCATCCTTGGAAAGGGAGGCTGCCCCAGAGATCCCTGATCCCATGCTACTGTGCAGGTGTCACTACTGAGTGCAGTACATGACTCCAATTGCCCATGCCCATGCCTCACAGATGTTGCTAATCATGCTCTGTGTCCCATTCAATAAGTGTCTCTCTTCAGGGGCATCGCAGTACCCTGGGTCTGCATGTCTCTGACCCTACGCCAGCTCTAAGGCTGCCTTCTTTTAACCCCTGGGAGAGTAGAGTCTCCCTCTGCTGCTTGCTCAGGGCCAGGATGTCAGCAGCTAGGATGAGACTGCCTACCCCAGCTCTGGCCTTGGGCTTATCTCCTGGTTAAACCCCATCAGGTGTTCCCCATCTTGCTGACTCAGCTCCTTCCAGAGCCTTCGCCCTTCTTAAAGTTGTTACCTGTTAAGAACACCTGATAAACCTTTACACATGTGACACACCATAGTTCTTTAGCATGCCCTTTAGCATGACCTTTACACATGTGACACACCACAGTTCTTTAGCATGCCCTTTTCTCTTTGAATTTCCCCATTTACTCTGCTAGTCAGGAAGTAGACTCTGCCATTGACTGAATATGACTGTAGAATGGCTATCTAACT